CTTCTTAGACATTTCAATCTTTCTTGAGAGGCCTCAAGATCTCTATGTGGGGTACTCAATTGGGATCCCATTGAAGTCATTCATACTAAATATTTAAAATAAAAAAGTAAAAATAAATAATTCTGTAAATATGCTTAATTATGTAAAAATATCATTAAAAATTAAAATCAGCATATACCTTAGATTTAAAGAATGATCAAGTAATGAAATAGAGTGTTGTTCTTTATCCAACAATCAATAAGAATTTTATAGATTACATCATAGAAAGATAAATATTTGTTTGATTTCTTTCCTTCATGTGTATATTTTTTTCCTTCACTTTCTCAATCATACTATCCCACATGTCATATACTAAATGAAAATATGGGTTATTCGTGTCATAAAATCTAAGTATATCATAAGTAAATCTTGTGAAATCAAGAATATAATCAATTCCAAATGTCATCATGTACCTTGTCCTTTACAGATTTTGCTTTACCAATATCATCATCTCTGTAACATATCCCGTTTGTCGCTAATAACCATAGACTGAAGTACACCTTTGATAAGTTTAAACCTCTAAAGCATAATAGTTGTTAAGGCAAAACGTGTGTCCACTATAGAAAGTAACTTTTATGGCACAAACTCATTAAATATGTACAATATCATCGAATGATTCATGGTAAAACTTTTTATCATTGTAATATCACTAGCAATATCAGATATCCAACTGCATGCATTATATGTTAATTGATTTTGTTCAATATTCATTATTATATAAATATTTTTTAGTGCTAGGTTGAGAGTGTGAACCACATATAGAATCCAAATAATATTTGAAAACTATGACTCAATAATTTGTCCAAACATTATGTTTTAATTCAATAATCTGTATTATGTTCTGATAACCAACCTCATTAGTAACTTTTTTCATTAGATTTGACGTAAAATATTTATGACTCTATTATTAGTTATAGCCATAAAGTTAATTAAGGGCATCATCTGTAAATCGCTAAATTCGTCACTTACAATATTAACTTCTTTTTCATTCCATGTACCTTCAGTCAGTCATAATAACCTCTCAATATTTGCTTTTTCTTTCTAAAATAGAATAGTTCTCAATAAATTGTAACCATATGGTAAACAACGAGATGAATGATTGTTGGCAACAAATTCAAAAACAATAACAAAATATGAAATTGTTGCTAGGTGAAATGGTAAACCAGCATAAAAAAACATTCTAGCTATCTTAGAATGTAACTAATCACATGTTGTCATATTAAATGCGGCTATGATACCTTTCCATTTGTCACTGCCACTTAAATTTCTTTTCTTTTAATCGTGTATAACTGTTCATCTAGCTATGGACAAATAGTACAAGGGGGGTAATGGTACTTTTTTCGGAGCACTTTGTTGATGTCTTGTTTTAGCTCCTTTTAATCTTTACACATATCAGAGGCATCTTTTATTGTTATTTTTGTACATACTATAATTCTTTGATGGTCAACTTTAATAGATGTGCTTTAACTCTTATATAAGAGCTTTTCTTGACCTAATGACAAAACTTACATTGTCATGTAATATTCCCACCCTCTCTGCTTAATTTGTCCATTTTAGTAACATTTCTCTATAACGGTTTATAAACATCCTCATCATTAGCTGTACGATGAACAGAAGAGCTATTGATAGAACTTGACGAACTCATTTTGATAGTTTTATGGATGACTCTCCTTTTCATCGAATATCATGGGAAAAAAAACATAAAAGTGATTATTAATAAAATGGAGGAGGAAATGTAATAAAATTGTAGATTTAGATTGTTATCTCTAAAGTACAAGAAATTGACCAAGGAAATGCAATAAAATGGAGAACCGACATAATTATGATAATTGAAATTTGAAAGCCATCACTGTGATTATTAAGAACCTAAAGCATAATTCAATATTTTATAAATGTCACATAAGATAGAGTACTTCAATTAATGGTTTCATATTAAAATTTCTAGTTATAATTCTGGTTGATTTTTTTAATTATATTTCTAATTAGTGATTTTATATATGTTCTCATAAAAACGAAAGAAATAAAATTTTATTGCAATAATCATGATATATTCATAATGTAACATATATCATGGCTAAAAAAGCATAACAAATAACATCTAACCTATTATAAATAAGAGGTAGTAATAAAAAAGCATAATAATAAGATCTAACCTATTCCTCTTGTTATACACAGACTTATTATGAATAAGAGGCCGACATTATATCTCTTAACATATAATTTATGCAGACATCAAAATACAAATATAAAAGGTGATTAATTGATTAAGAAAAACTAAACAAAAACAAAAGGATTGAAATCGACTTACTTTTGTGCACAAGTGATGGGTCACCTCTTCTACACATGATGGATAGGTCGACGAGAGGGATGCCAAGGGAAACCCATGATCCTTGTTGCCAATGATGAATCAACGAGAGGCGCATCGAGAGAAACCCATGAGTGAGGTCGTTGGTGATAGGCGATGGGTTCTTGAGGGCAAGAGGGACATCGAGGGCACATGCCATGCAATGAGGGATGCCAAGGGAAACCCATGATCCTTGTTGCCAACGATGAATCAACGAGAGGTGCATCGAGAGAAACCCACGAGTGAGGTCGTCGGTGATAGGCGATGGGTTCTTGAGGGCAAGAGGGACATCGAGGGCATGTGGTGATAGCAACAAGCTATCGAGGGCACACGCCATGCAACGAGGGTGAGGTCGCGAGTCATCGAGGGTGCACGTCACGCGATGGGTCATGGTGCACATTGTGGAAGTGGCCTCCGAGCACTAGCGTAGAGCTACAACGGCGCCACCGGTGCAACTATAATATGATGTTCTACTGCTTCTGCTATCATTGGCATTCCTTATTGTCGATGAATTTACTTCTGATGCAATGTGGTGTTCTAAATATGCTGCCACTTGTCGTTGGTGTTCACACACTGTACAAATCCTCGATTTCACGTCTCCCCAAACTCTTGAGGTCCACAATTTAATGTCGCCGATCCTCCAGGTTTGGCGAGAAATCCCCAAATTGTCTAGATTTTAAGCCTCTACTCCTTTGATATCATGCTTTCCTGTCCCCGCATAAAGGCCACACAACTTAGCGACACACGTGAGCATCACGTGAGGAAGGGCGCGGGAGTGATGAGGAAGGGTGTAAGAGATGTCCGACATGGATATGTCGTGTCCCAAAAAATAAATAAATATGTAAGACACATGTTCGACCATATCAGTGATGTATCCGTGTCTGACACGGATATGCCAACCAAAATGGCATGTCTGTGTTTCCCTTCAGCAAGCCAATTTCTAGAGTACCAAATATCAAAATAATGAAAAAAATTACATTTCATTCATAAAGTCAGGGCCTTGCTGACATATATAACATGTGTGTCCATCACCAAGACCAAGTTTCATGTTCTGTCCATAGTGGGGAGATAACACTGGATGAGCTTCGACCAAAACAAGAGATTCTTGGAGTTATTGAGAGCTTCCACAACCTCTACCACCAATTCTCTTGGTCTAGGAATCTATATATGTTGTCTTAGCAGTGACTCGCCCATTAGAATCATCTTTCCAAGCCCACATATTATCCTTTAGCTCATAAGATAAATTCATACCAGTGATAAGGATGTGAGAAATTTTTTTCAGAGTTCCACATGCATGTTGATTTACTGAACAAAATTATAATCATCGAGAATATTCACATTCACTGAGGTTGGTTTAAGGGAGCAATAGATTTTATCTGACAAGATTTTGCTAGTTTTATTATCAATTCTTGAAAGGGGAGCATTTTAAGCTAATTCCCAAATATTTGGTAAATCATATTGATTTTGGTCAATTCCAAATTGGTTACACACGAGATTGCCAGAAATTCAGTATCTAATTTAGTGCTGGTGAGACTTGAGAGAATAATGAAGCAAACCAAAGAAAGAATTTTAAAGATGGCCATGATTTTGTGAATCATTGCAATACAGGAATCAGCAGAATGTGAGCTCAAATTCTCTGATTAGAGTACTTCTTTAACAAGAGTTACAATTGTGTGATATTGGGGATTCTTAGGGTTTTCCTAACAACTAGGTGGCCCAGATGTTAGATTAAGTAAATGCTTTAGCCATAAAATTATACATAATATTAACAAGAGGGTTCTTCAAACTGTAAAGTGGAAAATTATTACTCCTTGAAGCTGTCATTTAAAAGTGAGGCCCATAATGCCATTTATCATGAAAATGTGCTTCGTCTGCCAAATGAGCAAACAACCCAATTTACTAAAACATATAAATTTTTTTTTTTTCATATTAGCAGAAATGAGTTTAATATTACTGGAGAGAAACAGCACATGTGCAAGGCATGATATCTTAACTATTTCAGGATCTAGATTAATTGGATTTTAGAAAACTAGTTTTTTGGTCATTCTATAGAGAATACTCTGTGGAACACATCAAGGTTCTTCTCTAATCTCTAATAGGTCTCAGCAAGTTGTTTGAATCATTTAGATCAACGTTGTGTAACAACTTCTGTTGCTTAACACGATAACTATGATTACAAAAATTTTATGGAACTTAGGGAATGTCTTGGAGGTGTCAGCTCATTAACAGGCTAACCATTACCAAGTACCAAAGCAATAATTTTTCAGACAGTATCTCAACAATGGCTGCTTAATTTTTCATTGAAGATACTGATGTCTGCCGAAAATGACATTTGTTACCCGTGATCTACTTGAACCTCTCTATGGTAAATGAGAACCTCTTTGGTTGACCTTGTTGTTTTGGATTTTGAATAACTTAACAAGATAATCTAGAATTCCAGTACTTGGATATAATTACTGAGATTACTAGATAGATAATGATAATGCTAAATGCACAGAATGTGATAGTTTGATTGTGGTTCAACCTAGTAGTTTGATTGTGATATGTCACTATTAATCTTTTTAGAGCTCGTTGGTAGATGTAGAAGAATGACTATAATCCACCTATCTTGTTGCAGGGTACTTCAGATGAAGTAGTTGATTGCTCACATGGGAAACAGCTTTGGGAGCTAAGCAAACAGAAATATGAGCCTCTTTGGCTAAACGGTGGAGGCCACTGTAACCTTGAGCTATACCCTGAATACATCAGACACCTCAAGAAGTTTGTTTCGGCTACTCAAAAGGACAGTGCCGCAAGGAGCAATCTGAAGGAGACCAAGCCACCGACTAGGGATGATGAAAGCGGTCAGTCAGAGATTAAAGCCGCAGATGATGAGCACAGGGCATGCAGCTGTTCTGAGATTGCAAGAAAGAGTTTGGACAGTCAACTTAGGAAACCACCAAAGGCGGACCAACCTGAGAAGTCACGAATGAGCACCGACCTTGGCGAGCGAAAGAGGAGGAAAGGCTTGGTATGGTGAAGATGACTTGTTGCCGGTTTCTTCGAATGATAGTGTATCGGGAGCTGAACAGCCTCCAGTCATGATCCAGCATTAAGAGGGGGAAAAAAACATCTTCTGTTTTTGATGAAATGATAATACTATGCACATGTATCTAACTGGTGCATAACTCGGTTATCTTCTGGTAATTGTCAAAAGAAGGCAAAACTGATGCAGATGCAAATGCTGACTCCATATAACTGAGCTCTCCCTGTGACATACCAATCAATTTGAAGTGCCAAAGCAGCCAATTGATTGTATTGAGTTTTTCGATCTAGAAGACAATTATCTTCTAAATCCTGTCGGACGAAAGACAAGAAGAGGAAACGGCTTCTTCGACACTCTAAATTTGTGCTCCGTGCTGTGTGTCAATCCAATGATTTGTGCTCCGTGAGGTCGCATAATGTAAATTAGTTGGAACCCAAGCGACAACCTCTGATGCAGAGTCCAAAGGGCTTCAGCAGCCTCTTCCATTTCTTCTAAGAGTGAAAATGGCGTATAAAGTGAGTACCTTGTGCAGCTTCCTCTTTCACTTCTCTCGTGCTCTGCCTGCACCGACTCATCAAATTTGATTCATAAACAATTTAAGCATTGGCAGCTTCAGGCAGCTCGAGTCTGCATTTGTCGTGTTGATGGCATCGTAAAGCCTATTCAATCCGGCACATCTTTCTTACGTGTCTTGCAATAGATGAAGAACAAGCAAAGACTGACTAACCATCTCTCATTCCTCCTCTCGTCCATTTAATAGGTAAAAACCCCAAATCGGTTTAGAATTTAGGATCACATTTTTCTTTGTTTTTTTTTATCGTGTGTTCGTTTCGGAAATTGAGACTGCGCCCAGTTGCTACTGTGCATGCTTTTTCTCGGGTGAATTTGTTTGGCTTGGGGGTACCAAGTTTCCCTTTGGACCTTCGGCGATACTTACAAGAGATACTCTAATTGATACTGTACATCTTGGGACTCATGCCCGATGTTACCCGTGTGATTCACGCAGTGCACGGCGTGTGCATGTTTCACACGTCCGTTGCTCTCCACAAGCGTCATCTTGTTCCTCTGTTTCTACGACGTGGCTTGCTTATTTGGTGCCTACTCCTGGTTGGGCCCAGAAACACAAAAGAATACACCCGCTTTTCCCTCCTGATTCTCCACGTATGAGAGAATCAACTATCGAGAATATCTTAAAACCATTACCTCAACAAGCACGAAGTTAAGAAAATATTATATATATATATATATATATATATATAATTTTTATTAGAGGATAGAAATTTTTATTTTTTTGTGTTACATTTGGGTAAGTAACGATTTTTATTTTTTACTTCGAACCTAGGACAGGACCTTTATAAAAATATTTCTTGCTGATATATCTATCTATCAGTTAGACTTCGTCTGTCACCAATTTGGCATCGACACACACACTACCGGTCTGCGATCCTTCTTACCCAAACGAGGATGGAAAGAAGAAGCTTAACAAGATCGTATTTAACTAATATCGTTCTATATCTCTCATGCAAAGAGTCGGTGTTATTTCGCGTTCGAAACCCACCCCCGACAGTTTTGCAAAAGCCACCCGAGTGCCTCGGCCTTTAGGTGCCTTTGGCTGCAAGCTTAATGGCACGTGACACTTGTTAAGGAAAAACATGTTAAAATGAAATAATATTTTTTCCTCTTTGTGTATCAAAATGGATTCCTTATCAAAATACCAACTTGATATCAAAATACAAATATCAACCAGAATAGTATAAATAATAGAGTAATAAATTAATCACACAATGAGATCAAATTTTTAACATGGAAAACCACAGGATCATAGTCCACCTCACCTCAAACTTCCACTATCAATAGTAATGATAATAGGTTTATAGTAAATCTTCTCTAGAATAACTAAAGGATCATAATAACATCAAGAACATAGATCTTGGCTCAAGAATAGCATATCATCATCACAAAGGATGGATCTCAGCAAAAGAGAATTCTAGATCTCACAAAGTGGGTATAGCAGAAAAATACCCCAGAGAGGGTAAATTGTAGATCAACACCATTAAGATTATAGAGCTTACTACAAGGATTCTTTACATAAAATTTGGGCCAAAACTGACAACGTTTGACCACTAATCGTCAAGTAAAAAACTCAAGATCCTAATCTTTCTCTCTCTCTCTCTCTCTCCTCTGGCTGTGCGCTGCCATTGCACGCACGCACACTATCCTCTCTCTCTTTTTTTCTCTCTCTATTCTTCTCTTTCTTTCTTTCTCTCTCTCTCTCTCTCTGCGCCACCATAGTTCACTACGTGCTCTCTACCTTCTCTCTCACCGTGCATCGTCGCTGCTCGCTGCGCACGCACAAAAACTTGTCACTGCACCGATTGCCCTCGTTCGGTGCTTCCTTTTTAAATATTGATTTAGGCTCCAAAGGCCCAATTGTCTAAGCCCATATATGGGCTGGACCCAACAATTCTCCCCCTTTAGCTTATATGGTGGGCTGTACCAAGCGCGCTCTTCGTCTACATGTTTCAAACTTCTCCTTAGGCAAAGACTTTGTCAACATATCTGAACCATTCTCATTGGTATGCACTTTTTCTAATTGTAATTCTTTCATCTCAAGCACATCACAAAACCAGTCATATCTCACATCAATATACTTGGATCTAGAATGGTATGTTGAATTCTTGGAGAGGTGAATGACACTCTGACTATCATAGTAAACAGTATATCTTTCTTGTTTCAAGCCCAATTCCTGTAGAAACCTTTTCATCCATAAAGTTTCCTTGCAGGCTTCAGTAATTGCTATATGCTTCTGTAGTTGATAAAGCAACACAATTCTGTAAATTAGACTGCCAAGAGATTGCTCATCCTGCAAATGTAATCAAGAATCCCGAAGTAGACTTTTTGTAATCAATATCATCTGCCATGTCTGCATCTGTGTACCCTTCTAACACAGGTTCATTATTGCCAAAACATAAACATAACCTAGAAGTACCTTTTAGATATCTTAATATCCAATTCACTACTGCCCAATGTTCCTTTTCAGGATTAGAGAGAAATCGGTTAATAACTCCAACTACATGAGCTATATCTGGCCTAGTACAAACCATAGCATACATTAAACTGCCTACTGCAGATGAGTAAGATACTTTGGACATTTCTTCTTTTCCTTTCTCGCTTGTAAGACATTGTTTCGAACTAAGCTTGAAATGACCTATAAGTTGAGAACAAACTGCTTTAGCTTTACTAATGTTGAATCTTTCAAGAACCTTTTCAATGTAGGTCTCCTGAGATAGCCAAATCTTTCTTTTTTTCTTATCATGAAAAATATTCATGCTAAGTATTTGTTTTACCGATCCCAAGTCTTTCATGGCAAAAGACTTACTTAGTTCTCTTTTAAGCTTTTCAATTTTACCAGCATCATGACCAATAATCAACATATCATCAATATATAGCAGGAGAATAATGAAATCATCATCTAAAAATTTCTTCATAAACACACAATGATTAAATATAGTTCTATCATACCCTTAGCTCATCATAAAGGAATCAAACTTCTTGTACCACTGTCTAGGTGCCTATTTGAGCCCATATAAGTTTTTCTTGTTTTCACATCAAGTTGCCCAACTTCTAAATTTAAGCGGGCAGCCAAACCAAGAATAACTTGGATAGAGGACATTTTCACCGCAGGAGAAAATATTTCTTCAAAGTCAATACCTTTCTTCTGACTGAATCTTTTCATAACTAGTCATGCCTTGTATCTTTGTTGTGAGCTATTATTTTCAGACTTCAATTTGTAAACCCATTTATTCTTGAGAGCTTTCTTCTCTTTAGGCAACTTTACCAAGTCATAGGTGTGGTTCTCAAGTAAGGATCTCATTTCTTCTTACATGACTTTAACCTACTCATTCTTTTGCTCATGTAGAATAGCTTCTTGGTAAGTTTCTGGCTCTCTCCCATCAGTAAGCATAACATACTCATGTGGAGGATATCTGGTAGATAGTTATCGCTCTCTAGTAGATCTTCTCAATGGAATCTCAACTGGTGGTGGAGGTGCTTGTTCACATCATCAACTATAAGAGTATCATCACTGACATTCTCACCACAATCTTCTTGTTCATCTCCCCCATGATCATCATGAACTACAGGTGAAAGAATTGGACTCAAACTCCAAGGAATATAAACAGAGGTTTCTGACTTCTCAATATTATTATCATCATTAAACAATTGGTTTTCAAGAAATACAACGTCTCTGCTTCTAATAATCTTCTTATTCATTGGATCCCATTATCCAAACTTTTCATGACCACATCCCAAGAAGATATATGCTTTTGCCTTACTATCAAGCTTGGACCTTTCATCTTTGGGAATATGAACAAATGCTTTACACCTAAAGACTCTCAAATGATTATAAGATATATCTTTTCCTTTCCATACTCTCTTTGGAACAATACCTTTCAGAGGAACCGATGGAGAAAAATTTATGAGGTCAACTATAGTTCTCATAGCCTCCCCCCAAAATGACTTCAGTAACTTAGCGTGGGAAAGCATACACCTAATCCTTTCTTCAATGGTTTTATTCATCCTTACTGCCACACCGTTCTGCTAAGAAGTTTTATGAATTATTTTCTCAAGCCTGATATCATGGAATATGCAATAATTCTCAAAAGGACCCTTGTACTCGTCATCATTATCTGATCGAACACACTTTAGCTTTCTACCAGTTTCTCTTTCAGCACTGACATAAAACTCCTTGAAAACATTGAGCACCTGATTTTTAGATTTCAAAGCAAAAGCCCACACTTTTCTAGAATGATCATCAATAAAAGTAACAAAATAAAGAACACCTCTAAGAGTTTTAGTTTGTATAGTACAAACATCAGTATAAACTAAATCAATAACATCTAATCTTCTAGATGATGGATATGTATAAAATACAACTCTATGCATTTTTTCAGCTAAGCAATGATCACAAGATTTAAGAGATGTACCTTGCAACTCTAGTAAGAACTGCTTTCTAGCAAGAGTTTGAAGTCCCTTCTCGCTGATATGACTAAGCCTCTTATGCCAAAGATCTATACTTTCACCTTTTTGAATTGCATTAATCTCTCCTTTGTGTAGCTTAGCTTCCATGACATAAAAAAAGTTAAGCTTCTTTCCTCTTGCCACAATTAGAGAACCTTTAGTGAGTTTCCATTTGCTTTCACCAATATAATGTGCAAAGCCCTCATCATCAAGTCTGCGTATAGATATCAAGTTAAGACGAGTATTTGGAATATGCT